AGGGTGGAGATTTGGTGATGGGCACAAAGGCTGGATATGAAGTGGTTCCTGGCTGAGCATGATGTTAGCTTGCATTCCCTCACCTTCACAGTAGGGTGACGACAGTGGCAGTGCCCCTGGGCATGGTGGAGGCCTTCCAGCATGAAGTTGTAGGTGCTTAGCCCAATGTCTGGGTGACTGTCCACTCGGCTGTTGTTCATCTCAAGGAACTGAATCTGTACGGAGTAGGGTTAGATGATGCACGAGGGCCGGCTGAGCCGAGTGAGGACAGCTGCAGACCCACAGAGTTAAGGGAGTTACTGCTGGAATCTGCAGACAGGACCTCCAGCTTCCTTGTGGCCGTATGAAAAGGGGCAGATGGGACCATTACAGATCATGGGTTATCAAGACAGAGGAAGTAACAGTTCTTCAAGGGAAGCCATGTTGTTCTCCTCGAGGGTATTTCTCAGTGGGCGCCCGAGGAGAGCAGTATCACTGGACAGGAATTATTCAGCTCTGCGGGATCATTTTTGCAAGATTGTTGCTTGCAGGGACCTTAAGGGGACAAGGAAGGAGGGGAGGAAGCTTAGAGAAGGCAAAAAGGTCAGGGGGAGGAGTTGAGCTCTCAGGACTCAAGGCTAAAGCTTGGAGGCTAGGAGCAGGTGGGACTGGGGCCGCCCACTCTTCCCAGGAGTAGAGGTGAGTGGAGCGCTTTCCTTCGAATCCTGGGAGTCAGGCTCTGCTCACACTTCCCAGCTGTGTGGCTACAGGCAAGAGGCTTCTCCTCTCTGAATCTGCTTCCTCATTCACAGAGTGAAATTTTCCCTGGGGGGCCATCTGAACATGGCAGAGGTGTTTGCACGCCGCCGCCGATGCTCTGGTCTGTGTTAGCTGCTTATGTAGACATGGGATGCATATAGGGATCACACCTCTTTATTCGGTGAGCTTCCCGGTAGTGGGCGGCGTAAGGAATGTGAGTGACAGGGATGCTGTAGCTCTTTGCAGCTGGCAGAGGCCGAACACCCATTGTCTTTTCACACAGTGTTCCCGGAAGTGGGAGGGAGGTGCTCCATGGCAGAGCTTAGGAACCAGGGGTGGCCAGCCCTGTGCCCATGTCCTGGCCCTGAACCCGGGCAGGAAAGACAGATGGACTGGGACATGCCGTTCCTCAGGCCTCTCTGGCTGGCCTTCTCCCGTCTGCCTTGACAAAGGCCACCAGAAGGGGCATAAAGGGCAATAACACAGTGTGCCAGGCCAGTTCTCAGCATAGCCAGCCTTCCTGATTGATGGGTTTTCTATCGCTGGATTTGGCCAGCGGTAGATGAAAGGTATTTTGGAAAGCCGGATGTGGTAGCATACACCCATAATCCCAGGACTCAGAGCAGGAGGGTTACTAGTTTGAGATAGCCTAGCCTACATAACAAGATTCTCTCTTCTCTCTCTCTCTCTCTCTCTCTCTCTCTCTCTCTCTCTCTCTCTCAAAAACAAAAACAAAATATCATAACCAAAACCAAGAAGGGCGTGGGGGGAGAGAAGCAAAATAGAAAAAGGAAAAGAAAGAGAAAAAAGAAAGAAAGAAAGGAAACCATTTAGGTTGGAATTGGGTGTGTTCTGAGCATGTGTGGCCTTTTCTTCCCATTTCTTGTCAGAGAATGCCGTGGTCCAAAGGCTCCGCACAGCATGTCCGTGACATTAGATATTTCCCCAGGAAAAAGCATTTGGCAGAATGTATGTGGTTTTATATACAAATATGCTAATGTAGAAATGGATGTGAGGATTTGGGTGTCCAAGAGGCCTCGGGGAGCCGGCTCTAGTTCGCATTGGAGTTAGTCCTTGGGACCTCCAACAGTGTAGGACCCGGCACCCTATTTCCTTCACATCCACTTTGCAGACAAGGCATCTGAGGTGCTGAGATCCTGGACTCCCTCCAGGTCCCCAGGAAGTCCATGCAGCTCAGGTTATGGGGTCTAGAAGTATTGGTGGGGGGACAGACAGAGGCTGAGGGGCTTCTTCCACCTCCCCCACTTAGGAGGGTTGGGGGCAAGGAGGTGACGCAGGTTATGGGGTCTAGAAGTATTGGTGGGGGGCACAGACAGAGGCTGAGGGGCTTCCTCCACCTCCCCCACTTAGGAGGGTTAGGGGCAAGGAGGTGACGGCTATACCAACGGATGACCTGCTTCTAATAGGATGAACCACGACAGACCTGGCAGAGGGACATATATGCCTCCGGAGCCATCCCTGATGGCCCTGGCTCAGAGATAAAATGACACAGCCTCTGACCCCAGCTGCTCCCAGCCCAGTCCAAGCCCCAGACATGACATCATCTGGGTCATCTTCCTATGGCCAGCAGCGCCTCTGAGTCCCTTGTGCCGAGATGGAGGCTGCTGGGTGGAGCTCTCTCCTCTTCCTCTCAGCCTTCGCATCCTCCTTTGTGCTCACTCTTTGCTCCCACTCAGAGACCCCTGGTCCCAGAAAGCCTACAGCTCCCAGGCTGAATGCCAGCCCCTCTTCCTTCTTGGGGCATTTAGGGGCTGCGCTGGCCCAGTGCAATTTCTCCGTCATACCGGTGAGTCCGCCATGGGAAGAGACTCGAAGGAAGTTGTTTCCCACCCCCGGTGCCTGGGAGGCCCAGCACAGGGAGAGTGGACACAAACACACACATGGCAGCAGTGGTCGATGTGGCGTGGTAGTTAAGCCCTGGGTTCTGCAGGTTTCGGACAGCTTTCTCGCCCATCTGCTCCCCAGGTCCCATGGTAGCTTCTCCGGGGTTAAAGCAGGAGCCGGCTCACTGGGTGAAGAGCTTGCCTTTACATCACAGGGACTTACGTCCAATCCCAGCACTCTAAGAAAACAAAACAAACAACGGTGTA